TCCCTGTTTGTTGCCAATGTCCATTTTGCTCTCTGTTTTCATGGTGACCTAACCCTAACCCTAAGTGGAATTTTCCCAAATAGGATTTTTCCATGTATTTTACGCAGAAACATAGATAGAGCAGCCTAGAAAGGTCAGTGTCCTCTTAACCATTTCCAAGCACTCCCTCTTTGTTGCCAATGTCCATTTTGCTCTCCGTGTTCATGGTGACCTAACCCTAACCCTAAGTGGTATTTTCCCAAGTAGGATTTTCCCATGTATTTTACCAGGAAACATAGATACGGCAGCCGAGATAGGTCAGTTCCCTCCTAACCATTTCCAAATACTCCCTGTTTGTTGCCAAAGTCCACTTTGCACTCCATGTTCATGGTGATCTAACCCTAACCCTAAATGGAATTTTCCCAAATAGGATTTTCCCATGCATTTTACCGGGAAACGTAAATAGGGCAGCCTAGAAAAGTCAGTTCCCTCCTAACCATTTCCAAGCACTCCCTGTTTGTTTCCAATGTCCACTTTGCACACCGGGTTCATGTTGACCTAACCCTAACCCTAAGTGGAATTTTCCCAAATAGGATTTTCTGAGGTATTTTGCCAGGAAACATAGATAGGGCAGCCTAGAAAAGTCAGTGCCCTCCTAACCATTTCCAAGCACTCCCTGTTTGTTTACAATGTCCATTTTGCTCTCGGAGTTCATGGTGACCTAACCCTAACCCTAAGTGGAATTTTCCCAAATAGGATTTTCCCATGTATTTTACCTGGAAACATAGATAGGGCAGTCTAGAAAGGTCAGTGCCCTCCTAACCTTTTTCAAGCCCTCCCTCTTTGTTGCCAATGTCCATTTTGCTCTCGGAGTTCATGGTGACCTAACCCTATCCCTAAGTGGAATTTTCCCAAATAGGATTTTTCCATGTACTTTACCCAGAAACATAGATAGGGCAGCCTAGAAAGGTCAGTTCCCTCCTAACCATATCCAAGCACTCCCTGATTGTTGCCAATGTTCATTTTGCTCTCCATATTCATGGTGAGCTAACCCTAACGCTAAGTGGAATTTTCCCAAATAGGATTTTCCCATGTATTTTACCCGGAAACATACATAGGGCAGCCTAGAAAAGTCAGTGCTTCGTCACTTTTTCCAAGACCTCCCTGTTTGTTGCCAACGTCCATTTTGCTCTCGGAGTTAATGGTGACCTAACCTAAAAGTCAGTGCCTCCTAACTTTTTCCAAGCACTCCCTGTTTGTTGCCAATGTCCATTTTCCTCTACGTGTTCATGGTGACCTAACCCTAACCCTAAGTGCAATTTTCCCAAATAGGATTTTTCCATGTATTTTACCAGGAAACACAGATAGGGCAGCCTAGAAAGGTCAGTGCCTTCCTAACTTTTTCCAAGCACTCCCTGTTTGTTGCCAATGTCCATTTTTCTTTCGAACTTCATGGTGATGTAACCCTAACCCTAAGTGGAATTTTCCCAAATAGGATTTTCCAATGTATTTTACCTGGAAACATAGATAGCGCAGCCTAGAAAGTTCACTGCCCCCCTAACCATTTCCAAGCATTCCCTCTTTTTTGTCAATGTCCATTTTGCTTTCAGACTTCATGTGATCTAACCCTAACCCTAAGTGGAATTTTCGCAAATAGGATTTTCCCATGTATTTTACCAGGAAACATAGATAGGGCAGCCTATAAAGGTCAGTGCCCTCCTAACCATTTCCAAGCACTCCCTGTTTATTGCCAATCTCCACTTTGCACACCGAGTTCATGGTGACCTAACCCTAACCCTAAGTGGAATTTTCCCAAATAGGATTTTCCCATGTACTTTACCCAGAAACATAGATAGGGCAGCCTAGAAATTTCAGTGCCCTCCTAACCATTTCCAAGCACTCTCTGTTTGTTGCCAATGTCCATTTTGCTCTCGGAGTTCATGGTGATCTAACCCTAACACTAAGTGGAATTTTCCCAAATAGTATTTTCCCATGTATTTTACCAGTAAACATAGATAGGGCAGCCTAGAAAAGTCAGTGCGCTTCTAACCATATCCAAGCACTCCCTGTTTGTTGCCAATGTCCATTTTGCTCTCGGAGTTCATGGTGACCTAACCCTAACCCTAAGTGGAATTTTCCCAAGTAGGATTTTCCCATGTATTTTACCCAGAAATATAGATAGGGCAGTCAAGAAAGGTCAGTGCCCTCCTAACCATTTCCAAGCACTCCCTGTTTGTTGCCAATGTCCATATTGCTCTCCATATTTATGGTGACCTAACCCTAAGCCTAAGTGGAATTTTCCCAAATAGGATTTTTCCATGTATTTTACCAGGAAACATAGATAGGGCAGCCTAGAATGGTCACTGCCTTCCTAACCATTTCCAAGCACTCCCTGTTTGTTGCCAATGTCGATTTTGCTTTCGGACTTCATGGTGATCTAACCCTAACCCTAAGTGGAATTTTCCCAAATAGGATTTTCCCATGCATTTTACCCGGAAACATAGATAGGGCACCCTAGAAAATTCAGTGCTTCCTCACTTTTTCCAAGCACTCTCTGTTTGTTGACAATGTGCATTTTGCTTTCGGACTTCATGGTGATCTAACCCTAACCGTAAGTAGAATTTTCGCAAATAGGATTTTCCCATGTATTTTACCAGGAAACCTAGAGAAGGCAGCCTATAAAAGTTAGTGCCCTGATGACCCTTTCCAAGCAGTCCCTGTTTGTCGCCAATGTCCATTTTGCTTTTCATGTTCATGGTGACCTAAGCCTAACCCTAATTGGAATTTTCCCAAAAAGGATCTTCCCATGTATTTTACCAGTAAACATAGATAGGGCAGCCTAGAAAAGTCAGTGCCCTCCTAACCATTTCCAAGCACTCCCTGTTTGTTTCCAATGTCCATTTTGCTCTCGGAGTTCATGGTGACCTAACCCTAACCCTAAGTGGAATTTTCCCAAATAGGATTTTCCCATATATTTTACCTGGAAACATAGATAGGGCAGTCTAGAAAGGTCAGTGCCCTCCTAACCTTTTTCAAGCCCTCCCTCTTTGTTGCCAATGTCCATTTTGCTCTCGGAGTTCATGGTGACCTAACCCTATCCCTAAGTGGAATTTTCCCAAATAGGATTTTCCCATGTACTTTACCCAGAAACATAGATAGGGCAGCCTAGAAAGGTCAGTTCCCTCCTAACCATATCCAAGCACTCCCTGATTGTTGCCAAGTTTCATTTTGCTCTCCATATTCATGGTGAGCTAACCCTAACCCTAAGTGGAATTTTCCCAAATAGGATTTTCCCATGTATTTTACCCGGAAACATACATAGGGCAGCCTAGAAAAGTCAGTGCTTCGTCACTTTTTCCAAGACCTCCCTGTTTGTTGCCAACGTCCATTTTGCTCTCGGAGTTAATGGTGACCTAACCTAAAAGTCAGTGCCTCCTAACTTTTTCCAAGCACTCCCTGTTTGTTGCCAATGTCCATTTTCCTCTACGTGTTCATGGTGACCTAACCCTAACCCTAAGTGCAATTTTCCCAAATAGGATTTTTCCATGTATTTTACCAGGAAACATAGATAGGGCAGCCTAGAAAGGTCAGTGCCTTCCTAACTTTTTCCAAGCACTCCCTGTTTGTTGCCAATGTCCATTTTTCTTTCGGAGTTCATGGTGATCTAACCCTAACCCTAAGTGGAATTTTCCCAAATAGGATTTTCCCATGTATTTTACCCAGAAACATAGATAGGGCAGCGTAGAAAAGTCAGTGCTTCGTCACTTTTTCCAAGCACTCCCTGTTTGTTGCCAAAGTCCATTTTGCTTTCGAACTTCATGGTGATGTAACCCTAACCCTAAGTGGAATTTTCCCAAATAGGATTTTCCAATGTATTTTACCTGGAAACATAGATAGCGCAGCCTAGAAAGTTCACTGCCCCCCTAACCATTTCCAAGCATTCCCTCTTTTTTGTCAATGTCCATTTTGCTTTCAGACTTCATGTGATCTAACCCTAACCCTAAGTGGAATTTTCGCAAATAGGATTTTCCCATGTATTTTACCAGGAAACATAGATAGGGCAGCCTATAAAGGTCAGTGCCCTCCTAACCATTTCCAAGCACTCCCTGTTTATTGCCAATCTCCACTTTGCACACCGAGTTCATGGTGACCTAACCCTAACCCTAAGTGGAATTTTCCCAAATAGGATTTTCCCATGTACTTTACCCAGAAACATAGATAGGGCAGCCTAGAAATTTCAGTGCCCTCCTAACCATTTCCAAGCACTCTCTGTTTGTTGCCAATGTCCATTTTGCTCTCGGAGTTCATGGTGATCTAACCCTAACCCTAAGTGGAATTTTCCCAAATAGTATTTTCCCATGTATTTTACCCGGAAACATAGATAGGGCACCCTAGAAAATTCAGTGCTTCCTCACTTTTTCCAAGCACTCTCTGTTTTTTGCCAATGTGCATTTTGCTTTCGGACTTCATGGTGATCTAACCCTAACCGTAAGTAGAATTTTCGCAAATAGGATTTTCCCATGTATTTTACCAGGAAACCTAGAGAAGGCTGCCTATAAAAGTTAGTGCCCTGATGACCCTTTCCAAGCAGTCCCTGTTTGTCGCCAATGTCCATTTTGCTTTTCATGTTCATGGTGACCTAAGCCTAACCCTAAGTGGAATTTTCCCAAATAGGATTTTCCCATGTATTTTACCCAGAAACATAGATAGGTCAACATAGAAAAGTCAGTGCCTCCTAACTTTTTCCAAGCACTCCCTGTTTCTTGCCAATCTCCATTTTGCTCTCGGACTTCATGGTGATCTAACCCTAACCCTAAGTGGAATTTTCCCAAATAGGATTTTCCGATGTATTTTACCCGGAAACATAGATAGGGCAGCCTAGAAATGTCAGTGCTTCCTAACTTTTTCCAAGCACTCCCTGTTTGTTGCCAATGTTCATTTTGCTTTCGGACTTCATGGTGATCTAACCCTAACTCTAAGTGGAATTTTCCCAAATAGGATTTTCCCATATATTTTACCAGGATATATTCTCAGCAAGATCATCCAAAGCTTGAAGGTCATCCCAACTGCCAGTTAAAGAAACCAAGCATTTATATTGGGAAACAGCAATATAGGAAGATGCTGGAGCAAAAGGTCACAGTGGCAATGGAAAAGGCATCAATTAATAGTGGCCATGTGAAGGCAATGGTAAACCACTTTTTATTTATATCAAAAAACCACATTGATAAAAATCAGCCTAGTTTTCTTACTAGGGCACAAATAATAAGAAATATTATGTGAAGACCTACGTCTCTGAGAGAAAGGTGGAAGGAAAGAGGAGAAGAGGATGACCAGCAGGAGATGTTTCACTTATAGTGGTAATGGGTAAACTAATGGAACACTTGAAAGACCAGTTTCGGGACAGATCAATATGGAGAAAATCCAGAAGAGAATATATGTAGCTCAAGGTTAAGCATCGGAGTTGTTTGTGTTCTGCTTGATTAGGATATTCTTTTCTGCTAGATTCATTGATTAATGTGACTCCCTGCTTATTTGGATATTGTTTGTTGGTGAGGAACAGTTCTGGTCTTTTTATTTCTTTCTTAGCTTTTTTAATTGTCTCTTTTGAATGACATGTAAATGTGGTTTATCTCTATGAGTTTATTGTTGGCTGATTTGTCTGAATGCAAAACTTTCAGGAATTCGCTAGCATTTTTAGGTTTAGGTTGGTTTAGAATACTCAGTTTCCCAATTGAAACTATGGCTGAATCTATCTATGTATTGTGAGATTTAAAAGTTTTCATCTGTCTGATAGTTGCTATTGATGGATGCCCTCTGCTAATTTTCTTCCTGTCTGTCCTACATTGTGGCTGTTATAGTCTTTACACTGCATGTTGTAGATGACTCTTGTTTTTTGTTCTTGTGTTAATGGTTTTTTTTTGTTTACTTAGGATGTTTTCAATTGTTGAAGGAAAAATCTTCATCAGTGTCCAGTTCAAGCTGGGAATAAACAACATGGAGACTGCTTTAGAAAGAAGGTTGTAGTTTATTGAAGAGCAGAGCCAGACAGAAAGATGGCTCTGGAAAAAAGGTGACCACATGTAGCAGGGAAGGGTTTTTATACCTCTGGGGCTCTTGAGGTTGTTTCCTGTTCCTGTTTGAGGCTTTGTATTTCCTGTGTCATGTACTTTGAACTGAGTCTGAGTGTGTCTTTCTGGTATTCTGATGGTGGTGGGTTAATCCTATTATGTTTTCTGTCCTTAGAATTTGGGTGGGATATGTAGATTTTAAGGGTCTTTGTCTTCCTAATTTCTTCAGTTTCTAGCTGGAAGGCTCCAACCTTCTTGAATGGATTATTACATCTGCATTTCTAAAAGCTGGTTTCTGCTGAGTTGTCTGGCTGAGCTGGTGATAAAGTTTCTGCCTTTTTAAAGATCTTCTCCATTATTCCTCTGGGAAAATATATTCTGTCTTTTTAATATTTCCCAAAATATTTCTTTCTCTGGATTCTTCCCACAATCCCCCCTTTGTGCCATAAGGGTGCGGATGACACCATTGTACTTGCACAAGATTAAAATTGATCTGGTCAGGGAGATTTGGTAAACAAGCTTTTAAACTGTTAATGCAAAAAAAAAAAGGGGGGGGAAGACACTAATAGAGGCAGCAGAAAAAGATCCCTGCAGTGGTTCCCAAAAGGGGAGCTTCCAACCCATAAAGTTCTAAAAGTCAGGGCAAAAGTTCTGTTAGATGGAAAAGAAATTTATAGTGTCCAATATTCAGTGCTAATTATTTCCAAATGTTGGGTGTCACTTTTAACTTCCAGTCAGGTTTGCACATTCCTCCAAAATTTTTCACAACGATGTTTTTCCTCAGTACATAACCACTGGCTGCCCATTTTCAAGGGTTGTTTCTTGAGCCTGCCTTAGCTCTTAGTTCAGGGCATCCAGGTTTGCGATGTCCAACTGAGGTTAGCTAGTGTGCAAGCCAATCTATTAAATTACACACAGTGAGCCCTAGGACTCTCACTCTGAGTCCACCAGTGCAACATATTCAGGGCTTGGGTTTTGGAGATCTCTTTCCTGCTACCTCCTCAGTGCGAGCATATGACTTGCAAATCACCTGAGGAGGCCTGGTTTCCTCCCCCTTGGAATTTGCATTGCAAAACAGGCAATGCTGTACAAGCATCCTGGACAATTTTCCCTCCCACCAGACAGAAGTCCAAGGTGTTCAGTACTTGCTATGCCAGCTATTCCCAAATGCCATCTCTCCATAAATACATTCAACTGCCTTATTACAATACAAATGGGATAAGAAAGAAAACCTTACAATGAGTTTCTTCCCCCCATAGTCTTTCCTAGTTTTCTTCTGAGGCTTCATGTGAGGACCAATGGTTCCAGGACTCCTTCCTCTCTCTGCAGCATTTGGGTGATGTAGCACTGGGAAGATCTATTCCACTCTGGTTGCTTAGTGACTTTTTAGTGGATGGTTGGATTCAAACCCAATTCCATTGCTCAAATGAATGGAGGCAGCTTCTGGGTCAGTGTGCTCTGCTTCCCAAAATGTTATTGAGTCATCTGGGCTGGGGTGAAAGACATGAGAACAAAATCTCCTCCCCCTTTTCTGGGTGGACTCTCCCAGTTGAGGCTTTGCTGATCAGACAAAGGCATGGAGAACAGAAGATAAGAAATGGAGAAGTAGATGGGGGGGTAAATTACAGGCTGAGTTCGAAAAGACATTACTGCAGTTGTTAAAGAAACAGATAAGCAGACAAAATGGTGACACCACAGATGAGGACAAAAGAGAGCTGGATTCTGGTAAGAGAACAACAAATGAAAGGTCTCACTTCTGAAATTGAATATTTGCAACATGTTAGAGAGGACTTAAGGACTTGCAGCTTGAAAATGCTGGGCAGCTTGAAAATGCTGAAAGCTCCAAATAATTTTAAAAGCCTAATATTTTAAGGTGTGAAATTTGCCAGGGGCAGGAGAATCTACCTTTAACATTTATTCTAAATAGACCACATTATTTTAGAGATTTAAAAAATGCTTATATGTTCCAGGATTAGTTTCATAGTAGTTTCACTGATTAGCGATAGGATAAGAAAGGTAACTTAAGAAGATTATTTCCCTACACAAGCAAACATGAGCTCATGAGGCTCGTATGGGCGGACATACATCATGTTTCACTATGATAGACAGATAAAACCCATTTACAACACATATAGAAAATTCACAAATAAACTTTTTCCTCTAAATGAGCTTAAAACATTCCCTCCTAACAAGGGAAAGCAAAATGGAACTCAATTTTCTTCACTTCACTCTATTTTGTTGGCCAGATAAAATAAGAGTGAAGGTATTTTCTTTTTGGTGGCTTATTTTAAGCAGAATTTCTAGCAGAATTTTAAAATTCTTTTATCTTTGGATTAGAGACAATTAACAGTCACATTTACCTCACACACAAAGACTTTGACATACTTATACACACAAAGACAAGAAAAAGAGAACAGAAAAGGGAAGCAGAAGTCTTAGTTTTACACATCCTGGTCATTCCCACCATAAATCTCAGTTAACTCAAATTAGGGAAGGCACAAATCTTAAACATATCATGTGGTTTCAGAGAGAGAGAGAGAGAGAGAGAAAGAGAGAGAGAGAGAGAGAGAGAGAGAGAGAATCACTATTCCTATATTTTAATTTCCTTTTAAGTACCTTTATTTAGCTGAATTGGTTTCCCAGCAAAGCTCTGTGCAAAGCCCGTTCTTCACAAATTTCCCTTTATCATTTTTCATACCTGCGTGGATGGGCAATTGCCTCCTGTCCCAGATGTCAAGCAAGTCTTCCAATGGGGAGCTTACCTTGACCTTCGAACTAGAGCATCCCATGTTCCCCTTCTGATGTAGGGGTTCACTTCGACCCTGCCGGGTTCTGGCTATTTGAAACCTCCTAATGAGATTTCCACCTACCACCGAGGTTTTGGACAAAAAGGGGTCCGGGAGGACTCTAGTTACCTAACAGAGTATGGGACGCTTCTTTAGGAATTCTCCTGCCACAGTTTCAGACCAAAAAGAGGTCTGTGAGGACTCTATTGCGCCCTGCAGAGAGTACGGCTGCTCTTCCACCAGCTTTTCCTTTCCTTTCACTTTTCCTCAGTTTGCGGACTTCCAGTGTCCGGGAGGACCTCTGCTTGCTTTCCAGAAGTACGGGATGCTCCTAGTCCGGGGCTTAATTTTCTGATGCAGGGCTTTGCTTACAGGGCCTTACCAGCTGGTTGCCCAAATCCAATTCTTTCATTCTCTCATTCCATTCCATTTTCACACAGCCTCTCCCTTTTCCCTAACAAAAGGTCCTGCGCTCTGGCCAAACACCATGCTTTCCAGTGTCTGTTGCTTGAACAGATCTTTTGGTGGTTAGGAAAGACCAGAGGAAGAAATATCCAATTGTGATTGGGAAAATGGTCTTCTCACTCTCACACACAGACATACACACATTTCTCTCACTCCCCTGGGCTTTAAAGTTAAAATTTAGAGGTACTCACCTTCATCTTCTTTCCAAAGCAGCCCTTGAACTCAAAGGAGTTTTGAACTCAAGTCAAAACTCCCTTTAGTATCCTTACTTCACATGGGCAGGGCCTGGGAAACTCATCCACAGACACAAGGGATCTGCTGCAGGCAAGATTGGGCTTACCAGTCTCAGTCCATTGGAGATATTAGTTTGGAGTCCCATCTGGGGTGCCAAATTATTGAAGGAAAAATCTTCATTAGGTGTCCAGTCCAAGCCAGGAATAAACAACAATTGGTGAACAGTGTGTTGTCTGGGTTACATTTGTAAAACAATCATTAACAATTGATTTCTATAATCCATAATCCACATAATGGTTTTAGTTGATTTCCTCTTTTCCCAAAATATCCTCTTTTGCAAACATTGAGTTAATACAATTCTTATTGTTTTGATAGATAACAATTAAATATATATTTTTCCCAATATTCCTAAAAATAATCACATCAATATAATATTTCTTTTTTATCCAATCATTCTGGTTGCCTTATCATAAATCCTGTTACAGTCCTTATTTTAATTTGTTTCTCCCCTCAAATTCTAGGTATTCTTACTGGTTAAGATTTTCTCAAAAATTAATTACATTTAAGAATTTAACTTTATTTTTCCATATGAACCATCTCACACTTTTACATTTCTTAAGGAATAGATAAAACAATGAAAAAAAGAAAGGAGAGCAAGAGTAAAGAAACATAAAAAATAACATACTACTTAATATATATATCTCTCCTAAGCTAATATATATTTATTTCCTAAATTTCTTTTTCTTTTTAACCGTAATTAAAAATATGTTTAATCTTTAAACATTCCATTTAATACATCTAGTCATTTAGTTCTTTAACTCTTATTCAAAACATTTTTATCCATTATAATTTTCTTAAATTCAATCACATTTAAGTATCTAAAACATTTCCTTTATCTAAGTCATTTCAACTTTTTTATATTACTCATATCAAGAAAGAGAACAAAAAGGGGAAAAAGCATATTATATTATTTATGGAATTCATCCTTCTTAGAATGACATATATATTCCAAAACTTTTCTATTTCTTTAACCATATTCAAACAAATGTTTCTTTTTTTAAGTATTCTCTCTGGTAAATCCCATCATCTATTTTCTTGGTTTCCACTTTAGTCTTTTCCCTTTGCCCAGTATCTTTCTTAATCAATGTATTTTGCTGAATCAAAAAATGTTTCCATAAATGTTGCTGTAGATATAAAAAGTAAATCAGGTGAAGTGTCTTTGTATGAGGCATCTGCCTTTCCACGTTTGTTGAAAATCTTTTTCTTTTTCTTTCTCTCCACTTCTCTTATCATTTCCTTTCTCTGCGATGTTCCTGACATCTCTACAGTCCATTTTATCCAATCTGTTTTCTTGTCCTCAGATTTATTTTGTAGTCTTAAGGGATAAGTTGTTTTTTCCAATTCTTGTAAATTGTTTCCACTAGGATTAAA